CCTCAAGTACCACACCACGTTGAAGGATACAACTTTTGATCAAACTTATTGATTAAAAGGGGGTAGGTCAACTTTCTTACAACTTTTGATCAAACTTATTGTTCGGACCTTGCAGTTGTCGAAGAAGCGTGACCTTCGAAGGAACAACAAAGCCAGCACGAGTGCAGTAGCAACATTGGCCTTGCGAAGATATACCGTGCAGAAATTCACACAAGTGTAATTGTTGGTTCATTATTCAACAACCAACTACATAGTGGATTTTGAGGACGTAGAAGGATTACCCCACCTTCGAACCTCGTTAAAGTTTGTGTGTCTCTCTCTTTTATCTTTACCCTTACTTGCAATTATAATAACTGTGAAAACTAACCCATCCATATTGATTACTGCACACTCTACCCACCAAATTCCGCACACAATCTAAAGTTCACAAGAACTCTAGATTAACACTCATTTTTACGTTTTCAAAAGAAACGAAAAAGTTTTTTCAAATTTGTAACAAAGTCTATTCACCCCCCCCTCTAGACTTTGTATCTCACCACTTTGGGACCACCAATAACTTTTTTGATGAATTTAAAATTTGGCCAAAAAATGTGATGGTACACCTAGAGCTCGAGGGCAAACCTAAAAAAAATATAACTTAGACATTGTTGAAAAGTATTTTTGACATGAAACTTTTACAAAAGATTTTACATGCAAATATAAACATTCATGTAAAATTTTTCAACTTTTTTGATGAATTTAATATTTCGCTAAAAAATGTGATGTTACCCCTAGAGCTCGAGGCCAAGACTAAAAACTTATAATTTAGATATTGTTGACAAGTAGTTTTGAAATAAAACTTTTACAAAGGATTTTACAAGCAAATAGAAACATCTATGTCAAATTTCATAACTTTTTTGATTAATATAAAATTGGGTCAAAAAACGTGATGGTACCCCTAGAGCTTGAGGCCAAAACTAAAAAAAAATTATAACTTACACATTATTGACAAGTATTTTTTACATGAAACTTTTACATAAGATTTTACGTGCAAATAGAAACATCCTTGTCAAATTTCACAACTTTTTTGATGAATTTAAAATTTCGCCAAAAAATGTGATGGTACCCCTAGAGCTCGAGGCCAAAACTTTAAAAATTATAATTTAGATATTGTTGACAAGTAGTTTTGACATGAAACTTTTACAAAGGATTTTACATGAAAATAGAAACATCTATGTCAAATTTCATAACTTTTTTGATTAATTTAAAATTTAGCCAAAAAAATGTGATGGTACCCCTAAACCTCGAGCCCAAAACTAAAAAAAATTATAATTTAGATATTTTTGACAATTAGTTTTGACATGAAACTTTTACAAAGGATTTTACATGCAAATAGAAACATCCATGTCAAATTTCACAATTTTTTGATGAATTTTAAAATTTGACCGAAAAATGTGATGGTACCCCTAGATCTCGAGGCCAAAACTAAAAAATTATAATTTAGATATTGTTGACAAGTAATTTTGAAATAAAACTTTTACAAAGGATTTTACATGCAAATAGAAACATCTATGTCGAATTTCATAACTTTTTTGATTAATTTAAAATTTGGCCAAAAAATGTGATGGTATCCCTAGATCTCGAGGCCAAAACTAAAAAATTAAAATTTAGAATATGTTGATAAGTAGTTTTGACATGAAACTTTTACAAAGAATTTTACATGCAAATAGAAACATCTATGTCAAATTTCACAATTTTTTTGATGACTTTAAAATTTCTCCAAAATATGTGATGATACCCCTAGAGCTCGAGGCCAGAACTAAAAAATATAACATAGACATTGTTGACAAGTAGTTTTGACATGAAACTTTTACAAAGGATTTTACATGTAAATTGGAACATCCATGTCAAATTTTGAAATTTTTTTGATGAATTTAAAATTTTGCCGAAAAATATGATCATACCCCTAGAGTTCGAGGCCAAAACTAAAAAAATTATAATTTAGATATTGTTGAGAGATAGTTTTGAAATGAAACTTTTACAAATGATTTTACATGCAAATAGAAATATCTATGTCCAATTTCATAACTTTTTTGATTAATTTAAATTTTGGCCAAAAAATGTGATGGTACCCCTAGAGCTCGAGGCCAAACCTAAAAAATTTAAAATTTAGATTATGTTGACAAGTAGTTTTGACATGAATCTTTTAAAAAGGATTTTACATGCAAATAGAAACATCCATGTCAAATTTCACAACTTTTTTGATGAATTTAAAATTTCGCCAAAAAATGTGATGGTACCCCTAGAGCTCGAGACCAAAACTAAAAAAAATTATAACTTAGACACTTTTGACAAGTATTTTTGACATGAAACTTTTACAAAAGATTTTAAGTGCAAATAGAAACATCCATGTCAAATTTTGCAATTTTTTGATGAATTTTAAAATTTGACCGAAAAATGTGATGGTACCCCTAGAGCTCGAGGCCAAAACTAAAAAATTTATAATTTAGGTATTGTTGAAGAGTAGTTTTGAGATGAAACTTTTACAAAGGATTTTACATGCAAATAGAAACATCTATGTCAAATTTTACAACTTTTTTGATGAATTTAAAATTTCTCCAAAATATGTGATGATACCTCTAGAGCTCGAGGCCAGAACTAAAAAATATAACTTAAACATTGTTGACAAGTAGTTTTGACATGAAACTTTTACAAAGAATTTTACATGTAAATAGAAACATCCATGTCAAATTTTGCAATTTTTTGATGAATTTAAAATTTCGCCGCAAAATATGATCATACCCCTAGAGTTCGAGGCCAAAACTAAGAAATTATAATTTTGATATTGGTGACAAGTAGTTTTGACATGAAACTTTTAGAAAGGATTTAACATGCAAATAGAAACATCTATGTAAAATTTCATATTGATTAATTTAAAATTTGGCCAAAAAATGTGATGTTACCCCTAGAGCTCGAGGCCAAAACTAAAAAATTATAATTTAGATATTTTTGACAAGTAGTTTTGAAATAAAACTTTTACAAAGGATTTTACAAGCAAATAGAAACATCTATGTCAAATTTCATAACTTTTTTGAT